TTGTTTGTGTGTTTGTTTCTTACGGAGTAATCTTTGATGCTGTGAGAGCTCAGTAAAAAGAAGAAGTCACCAGTGTAGAAGAATTTCACAGTGATGACTTCGTGTTTAGGTGCCTGAGTGTTGCTGTCATAGCAAACGCCTGAAGTGTTATGAGGATTCCTCCTTATAAATGTGGTTTTAAAAGCATTACCCCTTCCCAAGGTGGTGGGTTGGTTTTGGGATCTGTGTCTTCTCCGTGTTTCAGCACCAAATTCCTGCTGGTCTGCTGAGTGTGGGGTAGTTTTTCCTTTTTCCTTTGGTGAGGGTAAACAGATTTTTTTTTCTTTTTTCCTCTCTAAAATTACATTTTGAGGTGACATTTGACATGCCCTGTGCAGCTGCTGTGGGAGGCTGGGGGTTGATGTACATGTATGGAGTGCATTTATCCCATGGAATTGAGGCAGTGATTTACTGAAGCGGAGGACTTTGAGCTGAGTGAGACCTACACAGCCCACTTTAAATGCTGTTTGTGCCTTCTACAGAGCAGCTTCCTTAGCAGTAGTAGATTTGGTCACTGTAAATTGACACATCTCTGTGAAATTGTGGTTTCAGATTCGTAATCACCACAATTTACCTGGGATGTTACCAGCATGAGCAGGTTTAGAGTTTGAGGTGGGTTCTCTCGTGTGACTTTTTTCTGTCCTGTGGACTTCAGGTGCTGTGTTGATTCTGGATTTGTTCTGATTTTTCTCTAGATTGTTTAGTGACTATAAAGGTTCTTTCAGTTGCAGATTTATCCATCTGTCTAACAGGTAGTCAGCATCTTGCTGTGTGCTCATTTTCTCACAACGTGTTCATACATCTTATTCCTGTCACTGAATTAAATTCACTGGATTGGTTTCTTTCCATCAGGTGTAAAGGTTTTGGATTTTAAAAAAATCATTAAGTGCATAAAGACAATTCTAAAAATAGCCTTATTACCATGGATAACTTTAATTTGAAGTGTTTGAATGATGTTACATTGAAGCATGTTTGTTAACAGAAATAAGTTGTTAGTATAATCATTGAGTACAGCCTCTGATGGCCAACATGACTGAAGACTTTAAAGGCAGTAATACTTCTGAACTTTTTTTGTGCTTGTCAGCGACAGAGAACAAAAACTGGGTTGTTTTGCCTGCTTGGACTCACTCCTGGATGCTCAATGTGAATTAGAAACTCAAACTGAAAATATTCTGTAAGGTCCAGGGGGACTCCAGCTGTCAGTCCTTGTTCACACCATAGCCAAGCCTGCTTTCAGGTGGCCATCTAGCTTCCTCTAGTGTAGTTTTGTTTGCAAACGTGCCCTTTTGTGATAGATTGATCACATTTTTTCTACTTTGATAGTTTCTGGCAAGCTCCCACCTGAAACCCATTGCAGATTTTTGCAAAAATTGCTCTTTGTTTACCCTAAACATTTAATTTCCAAGTGAGGTTTCCAACGCAAAAGGGAGCTTTTACTGATGGTGTGCTGTATTAAAATGATTTCAGGTGGACAATTTGCTGTGATGGGAAAAATGCCAGTTAAAGATTTTATGGGACCCTTGGTGGCATAATTGAAAATATTGGTGCACCTGGCCTGGAAGTGTCTTCTGGGATACAGCTGTGATAGGCATGGGATATTGACTGGAATATCAGCTTTCAGATGGTGTTGTTCCAGTTTCCCTTGCACTTTTTCCCCCTCCTAATTAATATCTTGGCGTGGAAAAGCAGCTCTGAGGAACTGGGACAGCTTGGTTGGTGTTGTCTGCAGGAGTGGGCTGGGCAGGGACATCTTTCTGTTGAAAATCAGAAAATAAATAATAAATTCAAACACCTGCATTGATCTGCATAGCAATACTCAGATATTTAAATAAAAGCTTAGGATGAATACTGTTTTTTTGCTGTTAGGTCCCTTAAGAGCAGTGCTCATGGTCGTGGCTGTGTTTCCTGGTGTTGAGAAATACCTTAGTGGTGAAAGGTTTTCATACTGCTCAGTGGAGTAGAGCACACCAAGGAATTTGTGTCTATAATGAAAGGTAAAAAAGGTTTAACTTCTAGGCTGTTCCCAGATGCAGGAAGAATTACCACAAAACTGACAATTGCATATGAAAGCCTTGGTTTTTATCTTCTGTGTGTTTCACCTTTCCTCAGGAGGAGGAAGGTTAGAGGAAATGGTTTTACAAATATCACAGGTGGGTGACTGACATGACAGGTACATCCATGTAAATAAGTTTCTCTGCTTAACACATCCATGTGTGTATATGAGGCGGAAAAAACATTTAAAAATAAGTTATAAACGCATTTGGGATTTTTTTGAGAAATGCTGGTTTGAGTGACTGGCAAAAAGCTGATACTGCTTTTCTTTTCTTTTCTTTGCCTTCTACGTGGTGCCCACATCTGTTATTCCTAGGTTCTTCAAACACAGGGCATGAATGCTTATGAATGTATTTGCATTTTTGCTACTGCTACAAATTTGCTCTGCTCTCAGTCTGGAGTAAAGAGGCGGTGGAACACGAGGGGTGTGCATTTTGCAGGCAAACCTGTCCCGGGTAGATGGTGTTCTGTGTGCTGACAGTGGTAATTAGAGCGTGACATTTTGTTTGCTAGCACCATTTTGAAGGAAAAAAAAACCCCAAAAAACAAACCTAACAACAACCAAAAAACAAACCCCCATCTGTGTTAAGGTTTGGCCCCTCTTTCTCTTAATTTCTGTGCCTCTGCCTGTCACCTACAGAAGTGCACATGATACTCACTGTGGTGGGATGGATCACAATAGATGTGAAGGGAGTTTGCAGCTGTTTGAGCAGGAATGAACCTCATTCTTCATGTCAGGGGTGCTTTAGCCTGGTATTTTAACCACACATTTAATATAAAGTTACTGCACAGGGTGACGTGTGGTGAGGAGTGTTCCTACTGCAGTGGGACCTTAAAATTTCTGCTTTTTGTGGCAGGTTTCATGTGTATACAAATGATGGGCTGATGCAAAGGGTACACCATCACTTAGCAAGACACTCCAGATTGTAAAAACACTCAAGGTGAGGTGGCCTTGCTGCAGAAATAGTGATGCTGTGCCTGAAACCTGTGACCCCAGTGCCTTTCTGACACAGACAATCCCTGCTGCTGGTGTGCAGCAGCACTGGATGTTTTACAATGCTCTGTTTTGACCAAAACCCATCCATTTCTGTAGAGATGAGATAATTTAGGTGGTTTTCTATGCTGCGTGTTGGCTTCATTAAAGCAGTATAGCAAATATTTGCTGTGTGCTCGTGAGTGTGCTGTGGGCCTTGCAGGGTCACTTGCTGTTTTGTTTCAATGCCTGTTTCTGATGTCCTCGTTATCTTGCAGTGCCACTTGAGGATGAGAAATTTTAATCCCTAACTCTTGTCACCTAGGGCTTAGCAGGAGGTGGAGAATGTTTTTCAGGGGTTGTGTTAGAGCTCGGGAGCCCCAGAGGAAAAAGCAGCACACGTCCTTGAGTGAGTGAAACCACCCAGAGCTGAGGGTCAGATTTTCAAGGACTCAAAACCATTATCTGATTCTTCAAGGTTAGTAGGATGCAGCTGTGATTTCTTCACTGTTACATTTGGCAGAAATGTAATGTAGTGCTTGCTGATGTTGTGGGGAAAGCATAAAATTGTGCATAAATTCTGAACCAACATCACTAAATAACCAAGATTCCAATTTAGACAGCTGTCATACAATAACATTAAATGCTTCTTGAAATCACTTATTTTCCCACCAGAATGAATATTTTCTCTAGTTGTATCCCTGACTTGAGTTGTGTCCCTTTCCTGGGCTAGGAAACAATGGCCTTCATCTCTTGCTCTTTGTCATCACTATCTTGTGGATCTCAGTCTTCCCCACATCCTTCTCCACTGTGTATGAGATGGAAAAAGGGAAAGGAGGCAAAAACCTCCCGTGAATTTGAATATTATTCATAGAACATAGTATCTGATAGTGTAAATGGTAAGGACTGCTGTCCAAGACTCACTGAATTATGTATGGTGCTACGTTGACACAAACTAAGGTGAAATTTAGGAGATGATTACTGAACAAATTACTGATGTTTGCTAATCTAACACAGTCAAATCTGATCAACACAAAAGACATGTCTCACAGGAAAAGTTCCAATTGGAAAAAAACAATCATTAAGTGTGTGCCTTGAGCAAGGGCCTCTGGTGCTACTGCTTTCTAAGGTGTACTGGTGATTGCACAAAACATTTTTTGATGAAATTGCCCAAATTTCCAAAGCTTGGAAAAGCATTGGAATATTTCTGCATCTGCTCTGCAGACTGCTAGGTGGCTTTTCTGGGGAGGGATGTCCTCCAGCAGAGCAGACAGCTAGAGCACAGATTGTAAAATAAACAGAGATAAAGGGAGATTGATCAGATGTGACTTTTAAGAGTGCAGAGACTGAGAACTTTTGTGCCCTTGATCTAGACATCAGCCAAATTGCTTGCTGTCTTGGGACATAAAAATTAATGCAACCAGAGGAAGAGTGAGGCTGTATATCCTATCACAGGCTGCATTTGTTGGGTTTTTTTTTAGTGTGTGTGTTTTGAATTTTTTTTTTTTTTAATAAATGATTCAAATAATTATGAAAGGGATTGTTTGTTTACAGGTCTACAAAGGGGTCTTAGAGGCCACCCTTTTCAGTACAGAAGCTGGACAGGATAGAGAGAGCCTGGGGCTTTCCAAACTCTGTCAGCTGTGTCAGGCTTAGGGTGAAACCTCACAAAATCCTAGGGAGAGATTTGTTCTGACTGAGCCAAGCAGGGAAGCATCAGACTCTGTTGTGGAGGCTTATATTAAATTACTCCAGCTGTGAAAATTAACCTTACTTTTTAGAGTCCAGCACGCAGCAGGCACAGATCGGGAGATGGGGCAGAAATGTTAATTTCTCTGAAAGCTGACATGGAGGAAAATTGTTTTAGGAAGCAAGAGGCAGGGAACTAGCATTCTTGTGTGTCTTGGAAAGACAGTACTTGAGTAATGTGATCTCCTGAAGGCAGTATTAGAAGGAAGGGCTTTTTTTCCCTGTGCCTTGGTCAGAAAAGTCTATAGTTTAAAAATGTGTCTTATATTCTGTAATATGTTTTTTACTCTTGTCTGTTGCAGGGGGTTTTTTAATCAGCCCTGACTATCCTAAAACCAGATTTTTTTCCTTTTCTTGAAGTAAAGATGTAGAGGAGGAATTTTTTAGTATGTAGTCTCAGAGGTTCATGTTTTGAGTTTGATACTTTTGAAGGTGCAAAATAAATGAGGGCATTTGTAGCACTGAAAGAGAGGAAGATGCAGTGGCAGGTTCTTTGTCTAAAACTGCACTGGAACACGTTGTTGGAGCTGTGGAGAGGTGACTCCTGTGTTCAAAGGCTGTTTTTTTATGCTCATATACCTGCATTATTTCAGGGCCGTTGTGTTTGCTCGCTATTGTGTGTCAGGTACTGATGTGCAGCTGCAGTTGGGAGTCAGAAACACGAAGGTGAAGTGCCCCCCAACATAAACTGAGACTTGTTTTTAAAATATTTATCCCTTCTGTGCTGTTTCTATGCCCCCACTCCCCATGTTTTATGTTGTCATTAACTTACCTGGGAAAGCAACAATTTACATCCTCAACACGGCACCCTGAGACCTCTGTGGTGCTCGACGTCTCTGCTTTGTTGTAATTTGAGTGTTAAGATCTCCAACTTGTGTCTGACTGGTTCAGTGCCAAAGCAGTTTTGTGCTGTATTTTACTAATGAGTTCTTAATTGCCCTCTCAGCTCAAGTCCCAGTGGCATTTTTGCACTGGTGTGCCCCTGCCGTGCCCTCATCTCAGCCTGCAGGTTTCTTTTCACGCCCCTGCAAGCATTCTTTAGGAGCTGTAAGGGAACACTAATACTGAAAGGCTGTTTTCCTAGAGTAGACCCCCTGCTTGGCATCAAGTGTCTTGGGTAAGGGTTAAAGTTTGAGTAGGGTTTTGTTCTTCTGGTTTTTTTTTTTTTTCCCCAGTCCATAGTGAGAACCAAAAAAAAAATCCACCCAAAAAGCCCCACATGAAGGAGTGAAAGAGTCATGAAAATTGCTTAGAAAAGCAGTGAGCTGATGAGTCTTGAGAGGCTTTATTTTTTTTTTTTAATGTATAAAACTTGTGATGCTGAAAGTAAAAGTGACTCCTGTGAGGCTCTTTGTGCCCTTTTTCCTGTCTAAATGTGGTTTGTAGCACAAACCAGTAGATTTGTAAGTGCTGGTTGAGGGTGTAGAGTGAGTGGCTTCTGAATTTTGTGTGGAACTGTGCCCTTATTTATTTTATCTATTTTTAAATTTTTTTTAAACAAATCTACTTGTTTGCTCATAGCTTGGTGAGGTTGTGGGATTTGTGTCCCACGTCCCCTCCTTGTTAAAATCTTGGCACGTGTCATGATAGGGACTGCTGCTTCTGCCCTGCTTTGGTTTGTCAGATGTGGATTGTCACAAAGCCTGAGCTAAACCCATGCTGAACCTGTGCCCATGTGTGGAAACAGCTGAAATTGGTGCTCAATGTATGTCTTTTTGCCTTATCTTCAAACTCAGCCTAATCCATCAGCAGAGTAATTAATGTTCAATGCCGAGTAATAAACATAGCTGGATAAAGAGCTGCAAAATTGAAATCTAGCTGCATTGAAAGTGAATGTCTCAGTTCTTTGTGGATTGTTCTTGTCTTGTGAATTATTTTTCTCTGAGGGTCAGGTGAAGCAAAATGAATTGCAATTTTAAAATTAATAAATTTAAGCCATGTGAGCTCTTTGTTTTTGGGGAGTTTAGTGTTGCATTTTCTAATAGATAAATAGCAGATGGAAAGAAAAAACGTAATAAAACTTTAAGTGAAGACTGGGTAATGCAGGAATTTTCTTCAAAGAAAATGCCTGAGGAAACTGTTTAGTAAGATAAAGCAATTTGGAGCCTAGGCCTATTTTTTATTATTAATTTGACAGGGACGGGAAATTAAAATAATCCATCTCTTTGAAAAGTCTTGGGTGTAGAGGTGGGAGGAGAAAAAGATATGTAAGCCTTCATATTTATACCTGCCCTTGTCCCACTGAAGTGGCAACATTTGGTGAAACTTGTTTTTCCAGGTTACTGGGCTCAATTTTTCAAAACTCCTCAGAAAATCCTACATACAGAATTACATACATCTGTATCTGCCTGACACTGATTTCTTTGTTTCATTTATCCTTGTGTCAGACTGGGTGCTCTTGCCTGTGGATCTCTTGTGGATTTGACAGTACGAAATTTATTTGGCTTTAAAAAGAAGAAAAAATGGGAAAAATAGCAGAAAAAAAATTTAGTGGAATCCATTGCTCAGTGATATTAAGTCAGTCATTTAGAGAAACACATCAGACTGAGTGGAATTGTATAGGTCTGTGTGGGGACTGAAAAATAGAAAACAAAGGAAATCTGTGCGACAGATTTGTATTGAATATCCTGATAATATTTAATCCTAAAGAAGGCAGTGTTTTGGAAAACAGATGATACCTCAGCCAGACTACGTTGTTATCCAAATATACATCAAAAACACATATGTATTGGGGTATTTTTGGATGGACGAAGGGTAATTAAAACATGCTGCTTTTTTTGTTTTTCCTCCCCCCAAAAATTTCCTCAACTTTACTATCCTCAAATGGATGATACTAAGGTACTGAAAACTGCAGAGATGCTTTTAAAAATATGACTAAGAGACTTGGAATTCCCAAATCTTTGTTCTTACTGACTGTATACACTGGGCTCAAAGGTCGTGTCTGGCACAACTTCCTTTTTCTGTTTTTTATCTGCGAAACGTACAGCAATTTTAGTGCTGTCTTTTCAGAGAAATTATGCGGAAAATTATATATATTTGGAATGTGTGGTTTTTTTTCAATTTTTTTGAGGAGGAAGTTAATTATTTTTCTTAATAAGTATCCTGTGGTTTTCAAGTGAAGGCACTGTGCCACCACTGGCTTTGGTAGGACCTTGGAAAGCCAGGGTGTCCTGCTGCCAAGTTAGAGCTATAAAGTATTTGTTGGGACTTGCATCTTCCAGAAGCAGCACAGAAAGGGAGTCTGGGTCTCTGAGGCACGCCTTGCTGACTTTTCATCCCAGATCTATCCTCTGCAGGCTGGGCTGGTTGTTGCCTTTGATCTTTGCTGCCTTCCACATGCACTTTTTAGTAGAACTTCACTACTACCATTCACTTTTTCAACAGGAAACATGATAGTTGCCTGACTTAATTTTATTTTTATTTCTTTTGTAGGTTTATAACATTCAGTTAGTGTAAGCTGGCTTATCTGTGCATCTTGGAAAGTGAGGATTTGCTGTTAGTTTTGGGAAGAATTGTTACAAAAAGGGTGAGAAAGAAGGGTCTGCCCCTTTTATAAATCTGTCTGCATACTCCCTTACTTGCTAGTATATACTAGTATAATTGCCCACTTTGGTGTTTATTTTAATACACTGAAGGCCTTTTTTTTTTAACCTTATTATAGCTTAATGTAGATGGTTGTAAGTGAGCTTGGCAAGGGTGGATGCCTGCAGTGGGTAGTGGGTTAGGCCTGAGACTTCAAGGGGATGAAAGACACCAGGGTGGGCTTTGCCTCCAGGCTACAATTAAGATCAAGGCTTGTTAGTAAGATTCCTACTATAAAGGTTGTTGACTGTCTGCTTCCTTCTGTTTCTCCTCATTTTTCAGCTGGTGACTGTAGTAAATAAGCCTGACAAGGGTTGTTCCTTATCGTAGATTCCAGATCTTCTGTGGCAAATCTTCCATATCCTATTGTCCCATGGAGCCTGAAAAGCTCAGAACTAATTTGTTTTTGGTTTTTTGGTTTGGGGTTTCTTTTCTTTTTTTTTTTTTTGTTGGGGTTTTTTTTTTTTTTTTTTTTTTTTTTGGGGGGGGGGGGGACATGCAATTGCACAAAAAGCATGTGCATGTTTCCAATCGTTCTGTGGCTGCCATGAAGCAGTGGGAAGGCAAATGTGAGCCATGTGAGCCTCGACTCTGCAGTTGTGCCCGTGATCTCCTGATCAAATGTTGCCATGGAGCACTGAATTTCCTAAATGGCCCACTTACCCCTCTGCAAAAAGTTAGAAAGTCACTCTTCCTCATATCCAAGTGCTAATTTTTGGTCCGTTTCTTTTATCTCTGAGACTGGTGAAATTGTAACCCGTGTGCTTTTGATACAGAGTAAAGTTAAACAAAAGAGCAGCTAAATATTACTTAGGGTGCATGTAATACAAAAGTGTCTTAGCCCCCTAAATTGCATTAGGGAACAAAGGTCTTCCTAATTTTTTCTCTTCTTTGGCTCTCAGATTTATATGTAACTTCCACTTGAAGGTTATTATTGAATCATTCTTCAATGTCAAACATATTGTGGCCAGAGGAGTGGGAGGATTATTGTGAGATGGGACAGGAAAGATGCTGTGTTATTTGTCTTCATGTTTGTTGACCTGACATGTTCCTGCAAAAAGAAATGAGTAAAGAGGAAGTCCTTCTTGGATCAGTATTAGTTTTAAGATTAATGGAGTGAGAGTTGAGGTTTTTGTCAGGTATTTTAATGTTCTTACTCCTGAAATATTGGAGTTAATGGAATTTTCAATTAACACCAGAGAATATCAATTTATATGAAATATATCACTGGAAATATGCATAAATATAGGCATTATCTTATTTCCTTCTGTTAGAAAATGTGGTAATAGCTAGTTTTAATCTTTAAAAGCAATCTTGAGCTTTTCTTGACTGGTTTAAATCTCCAATTATCTACTTATGAGTATATGCAGCATCCTGAATAGTACCTCTTCTCTGATTATGAATTTACTATTAACTTTCTTCTGATTATTAGGTTATGATCTAGGTTTGGGCAGTATCAGAAGGAACCAAACTTTAATAGCAGTGTGTCTTCTCTTCTGAACTCCCTGTGGATAGCTCCCATTTTTCCTCAGCAAGAAAGCACTTAGGTTAATTGCTCCATTTCAAAGACATAGTAGCTCTTTCTGGTCTCTAAGTAGCCTTCCAAGCATAGCTGCTGAGATTTGGAACACCTGCAGCCCAGCCAATTTGGGGGAGAAAAAAAAAAAAAAGCCATTAGTCTGCATGAGGAAAAAAAGAAAAAAAATGAAGTGCTGAAGTTCAGAATATTATCAATGATGCTGTGTTGGAGCAGCCTGAAAGATTTGGCTTTTGGTCTATGCCTGGTGCTATCCAAAACAACATATAAAATTCTTTGTGGGCCCATTTTAAGAGTGTCTTGTTCATTCAGAAGGGCCTGTGTGCACTGTTTGTTCTGGGGGCAGAGGCACCAGCCAACAGCTGATTCCTCCTCAGAGGGAAACATCGCCTAATGGTGATCACAGGAGCCAAAGACCACGGGGACAAAGTGCTAAAGATAAACAGCTCAATCCCCGACTGTTCAAAGGCCTCAATAAAGCCTCTGATTTACACATTTGGGGTGGGACCCCGCTGTCCCCACCTGCAGGCTGGCCCTGGGGCCCTGGCGTGGAGAGGGGCTGGTGCTGCAGCCCCCCAGGGATGGAACACTGCCTTTCTGTGACCCCAACCCCAAAACTCCTCTGCAGCTTGGCTGTGTCATGACCAGGGAAGGAAGAAAAAATTGAGTGCTCTCATTTTGTGGTGAATGGGAAGAGCCCACAGGGGCTGGGTGCTGAATGGCACTTGAGGGTGCTCCTCTGGTCTGATGGAATCTGAGGGGCTTTTTAGGCTGCCATAATGCGAGGCTGGTTCCAGTAATTTGGGTAGCAGTAAAAATACGGTCTACTTTTACCATATGATTGTATTTTACTTTGTTTTAACAAGCTTCACCAACAGCTGGACTGTTAAATTGTGACACTCCAAAAATTCAGGGGGCTGCTTTAACCTTTCTGAGCATTAACACAGTTCCTACCTTTCTACCCCAAATATGTGAAAGTGAAAATAAGGTTTCACCTCTCCTTTATAGTTTTGTCTTTCTTGGATAATGAAATTTTTACCTGTCAGAAGTATTTGAACTGTGAAATGTCACACAAGCTTGACACATTGGAAGCTGATGGGGTGATGAATTTAGTGAATAGGTGGGTGTCTTGGGACAGGTTAGTTTCAGGAGATTGTTTTATTTCATCTCTTGAAATACAGAGCAATACATTTTTTTTTTTTTGGGAAATACAGTGCTGTACATCTGTTATTAAGATTTGCCTTTAGAATGAACAAAGTGCATGCAGTCACCTGATAGTGAATGAGTAAGGAATATGCCCTCATTTATTGTCTGTATTTTTAATTTCTTTAGTGGTAACTGCTAGTTGTTAAATAAGTAGGGAACTCCTTTGCTGTTTTTGCTGTATTCATGCTTGAACTGTGTGTGGTTTATCCATTTACTGAACACTGCAGTCAACTCTGTGTTTTCAGGACATAAAAGGGATAAGGGGAAAAGGGATTTGGATTTTTAGTTCATTGTTGTAATTGTTTTGCTTTCAAAAAATCAGTAAGGTACAATACTACTGTTTGCAGTGTTTTTTGTGCTGTGTAGGTCAGACTAATTTTCATTAATTAAAAAAAATTTCATTTTCCCCTCCTCTTGAAGAGAACTATATAATAGGCATTGTATACAGCCCGGAGTCCTTGAGCTTTTGCTGATGGGTTAGAAGGGTTGAGTGCTTTGGAGATGGAGTCTGGCTGAGCTCTGCTTACAGAGGCAGACCCTAAACATGGAGTAATAACTAATATACTCCTTTCAAAAGGCCAGTGAGCACTGTGGAGGAGATGAAAGCTGGGAGAAAAAAAGTATCTTCCTTTTATGCATTCTTGGAAAATGCTTTTTTTCAGAGCTGCACAATAACGTGGAAAAGCAGGAAAAGTGTATTTTCCATTTGTTTCGATGTTCAGGGTATTATTTTTGGTTATGTCTCCTCATTCTGTTGAGGTTGTGTTTTACCACAGGGGTACCAATAGTGTTGTCTAAACAGAACTTTCATTTTTAGCTGTGCTACGTCACTGTAATGAAATACTGATGTGTGCATGGGAAACCAGTGTCTCTGTATCAAATGAATTTAGTCTCAGTCCTCAGAGACCTTGTTAGTGCATCTTTAAATAAATAAACAGGCTTCTTTCCTCTGCTACTCTTGACCTCACTTTTTCTGACAGACACTTCATTTGCTTTATCGTTATATAAATAGAAAATGTAATTCTTTTGCTTTGTTTTCTGTTATAAAAAGTCTGGGTTGATAAGAAAGCCTCTAGTGCAGGTATTTTTCACTGAATGCTGCTCTACTTTGTGATAAAAATCACATAAAACAAGCAAAACCTTCCTGTTGAACTACACATATATGCATCAGTACCCTGTGTGCTGTCTGGGTTGTCTGCTACTGCTTTACAGTCTTTAACTGAAATACTTCTAAAAACATTGTCTTTCAGAGGAGGACTTCTGTGAAAATATTTCAGGAGAAGCTGTGTTTTTCCATAATTAACAAGAAGCAAAAGGGCATCTGGCACGCAAAGGAGAGTGTATGCATATATGCTTGTGGTAAACAGGCAAAAAGAAATTAAAGGAGGCTGATGATCTTGAAAAGAAAAGGTGCCTGTTTATTAAGTGCAAGAACAGAGGACGAGGCCTCAAGGTAAGCTTAAGGCCTATGCAACCAGCCAGAAGTAATATTAACAATCTTTTTGCAACAAGGTGTTTCTCCGGACCTAAGTAGCGAGTGCTCAGCACCAGGGTTTTTAAAGTCTCTTAAAGGTGCAGGATTGGTGCATTTTCAATCCACGCGTTACTTGGTCCTTTTCCAGGTTGTTGGTCGGTCCATAAGATGGTGCATTTCTGCCCAATCATTCTGGAATTCTGAGGCTCCACTGGTCTCCCAGTCATAGTTCATATTAATGTTGTCATCACATGAGGTAATCCTCTAGAACATTCCCTCACCCAGACTTCACCGCCGCCTCTCTGCTGGGCATACATTCATATTACAGTGCTATCAACTCTGCAACCCATTACTTCATAGCATATTTCATTAATTAAGTATAACAATCTATTACATTAATTAACAATTTAAAATGAGATTACATCATTAACAATTCATTAACTTGCCCATGAAAGTCAACTTTATTTATAACATGCTTGAGGATTCTTGTGTTTCCTGCCCTGTGCTCATTACTGACCCATGGCTAGGCAGTTAGTGCCCCACAAATATTTAAAATGCCTTAATTTCTGGAGCCACTAATTGCAAAGGCATTGTTCCAGCTGTCCACCCCCAAATATTTAATCTTTTGGTTCTTGCTTACAGGTGCATAGACATGCTGTAGATTTTCTGAAGTGGCTAGCTGGTTAGTGATGGAACTAGAAAACTTTTTTTTTCTTTTTTTTTTTCTTTTTAAACCGAGAATAATTTTTCAATTTATGTTTTGGTAACGTTTTAGTTTCTGTTGCTTTTTCAGGGAATAGAAAGGTGGAGTATGACATCTGTAATAGTAAATGCAGTGGTGGTTTAGAGATGTAAATACTAAAGCTTTATGCTTGAAAACTAGTACTTAAATTCATATATTTTGCTGCTTTTGAATGCTATCCACTTGTCTGGGCAAGGGAGAGGCATTTTGAAATGTTATTGGGTGCAGAGTTGAGCAAGGGTTAGGAACAGTTCAGTCAATTGCAGTTAAATCTGCTCCTCCTAATCTGAAAAATGCCAGTTTTTGGGGAAGCCAAGGTAGTTAAATCTGTACCTAGATTTATTTCTCAATGTCCAGGAGCAAAGAAAAAGCTTCCTTCTACTCTTGCTTGGAGAGCAAAGTCCCTTCAGGGCCTGAACTGATCCTAGTCATGATTATTTACTGCTGCACTTCAGATGGAAACCTCCATAGAGCATTTAATCCCTGCCCAAGCACCATTGTACTCAGTGTCGTTTAAATTTAAATGCCTCATCTGGCTTTTCCCTCCTTTACCATGCTATTTTTAGTCTGTGAGTGACCATGTAGCCTTTTCTCAGTGACTTCACTTAGGTTGTGTATAAATACATGGGATTCTTGAGAAGATCTTAGGTCAAGCACAGGTTGCCAAGTTGCTTTGCCAGAGAGCAAAAATACTCACTGTAACATCATATATTTTGTTCTCTGCAGAATCCAGTGCTTAAGATACTTCCTTTGAGTTGCTGGCATTTGCTACACCCTCTGCTTTGCTGTGGAGCTTCGTGGCAGCTTTCAGGTGGCAGTCTTCCAGATGAACATTGATTATTTTGAATTATGATAAATATTCTGCACTTCGGGTGATAGCAGACTGAGTTAAAAACAGACCCGTGGGGAAGAGCTTGACTGTAGTAATTTCCTGTCCCTCAGCTTCCTGACAGCTTCTTAATTTGAGGCTATTCAGATATGTGTAATTGTTGGCACTGAAACCTAACTTATTATAATCCAGTTTCCTGTTTAAAGTATCACCAGTTCTCTGACAAAATGAATTTGGGGAGGAAAGTAGAATGAAATTGCAAGCACACTTGTATTTGTATATTCCCCACATATACAACTCCCAATCTAGTTATGTAAAGCTGTTAATCACCCCAGTGGTTATAACAAGATTATCTTGCTTTTTAAACAGGTAGGAGAAGAAGATGGAGAAGACTTTGAACAGAATTCATCCAGTTTCTGATCCAGAAGCAACCTATTTTCTACAGGTGTCATGGGAAAAGGATTTAGGCACTGGCTTTGGTTTACTTCTTAGTGATTGTCAGTGTGCCTGGACTGGGACAGGTAATGGAAGGAAAAATGCATTAATTTAAATTATTACTGATTTTAATTGCTCCTTTTTAAACACTTTCTAAGCTGTGTCTCACAATTTTTATGGAAATTTCGTGGGCATTTTGTCCCCAGTGATGGAGGAGGTAGGGTTCATGATCTGGGATGGGCCACAGAACTTTGAAATCTGGAGATGTTGTGTGTCAAAGCTAAAACTAATTCATTCAGTACATCCATATGCAATGTTTTGTTCTTTCTCAAGAATGTATAATTTTTTGGAGTGATGCTGAAGTAACACTTCTGCGTCTTCTCCAGATTCTCAAACAAATGTGTATGCAAAGTTCCATTTGCAAATTGGAGTCCATAAAGGCTTTAATTGCAGATGTATTTTGAATATTTTTGTGGAATTTAAATAGCCAGAGGTAGCTGTATTTCATGGTGAAATGAATTTTTGGGAAGGAAAAGGGACAATAAATTATGAGCAGGAAAAACTTAGCCTGTGGGATTTTTTTCCCCAAACCTCAGTAAGAGGATGGGTCTTTGCATATGTGCATGATTCTCTCATTCATGCCCAGTGCAAAAAGTACTTGAAAAATGTCAAATACTTGATCAAAAGCCCTTTTTTCAGTAACAAAAATATTTCAAAGGGAGGAGAGAATTATGTATTTTGAGCAAATTGTAGACAAAACCATTTTCTGGACTCCTTGTCAGAATTATAAGATATATCTGTGTAGTTCCTTTCTTCCTTCCTTCTCCTTATCCAGTGGGTGTTGTTCCTACTCAGTTCCTACACAAGCCAAGCATTCATACAGGTCTGAGATGAGATAAATGTAAATTAAAATCAACACACAAATTAAATCTGCTCTTCCATTTTCCTTTTAACATTTCAAACACTCCATCAATCAGGGCTCCCTGCACAAATGTACATGTAAAAATACTTGTATTCCATTCCTGATTCCTGGTAATGAAAGGTTTTTCTTTCTTGGCTTGACAAGAGTGAAGTCAAGTTATTTTGAAAACAAAAAAAAGGGTGTTAACACTGACAAATACTGTTTTTCCTGTTCGAAGGATCTTCTCCTTCTTAGGTGACTTCAAAATCCCCAGTTTAGAATTCACAAAAAGATGATTCTTATTTTTTTAAACCACTATAGTTGGGAGTGTATAGAAAAAATAGGTAGACACAGAGTTCTCATTTTGTTCAGCTCCTGCATCTGGTAGAATGGAGGACAATGATTTTCCAAAACAGAGGGCAGTGAAATCAGGATGACCTCACTCCATGAAAAAGGAAAGAAAGAAACCCACTGTAGTTCTGCTGTGAGCTTTGGGTGCTCATCCTGAGGACAGTTTTTTTCTGTTCTGGAAGAATCTGATCCCTTTCTAAAAAATTCTTCCTGAATTTCTAGTCCCTTGAATAATTTCATTGGGGGTTGGTGTTGTTGTGCATGAGGCTTTCCTACTGCACTGACCTGTCTTTTCATTCAACAAAACATTTTGGTCACTTTATAGAGTTATTACATCAATTTTGAGACTGCTTCCATTTTAAATTCAAAACCTGGAGGGAGGGAAAGCAACGGTCAGAATATTCTTGCTGTGGGAAATCCCTTTTGGGTTTCTCATGCTGTGGATTATTTTCCTTGGCAAGACCTACCAGGGAGAGAGTGAGAGTTGCTGATGGAGTTGTCTTTTATGGGTTTAGTATGTTTAATGTGATGATGAAATGTGTTAGGAGTCCTGTTTAAGGAGAGAGGGAAAACAGTGAATGTTGGAGGGGAGGAGAAACACACAAATATGCTATGTAATCTAGTGTGCTACCTTGGTTTTGGGTTAAAGAAATACATCTGTGAGGATTTATCCATATCATATTTTCCTAATGATCGATCACTTCTGCTGGTTTGAAATCATAAAGGAATATGCAGCATATACAAGGAAAAAAAACCTAAAAGCCAACAAACCCACAGTGCTCTATTGCAGTATTTTAATGTCTTTCTTTTTATGGCTTTCTTACTGTTATTAAAAGTTTTATCTTCTCAGTATTGAAATCACTGTTCCAGACAAGCACTTCCTTTGTAAATATTTCAGACTCACCTTTTTCTACCCCTCTTTGCCTCACACTGCACCGGATTCCACATTTCACATTTCACTCTCTTTTGGGTGACTTCAGGCAACTAGAATTGTGGATCAGTAGCTATAGGAAATAAACAATTTTCAGATGGGGAAAAAAGGGGACAGAACTTCTGAAAACCCCAGTATTTCTGCTACATTTCCACAAGTGGAAGGAACATAACAATATGTGTTTAAAGGAAGAATAATCTCCTAATATTTCACTGAATCACAGAATTACAGAATGCCCTGGGTGGGAAGGGACCTTAAAGGTCAACTAGTCAATGTTTGTCTGTATATACATATATATATATATATATAAATATTTTAATTGTGTATATAAAAATAGATATATACTTTAAGATATATATAGTAAATATATATAATATGTGAACTATTTATACACATGGAAAATATATATTCTATATATTACATATATTTATATATTATAATATAGAATATATTTATATATTATATTTATATATTACATATTATTTTATATTATAATAGTATATATTTTAATATCTATAATATATTTATATCCCAGTATTTTATATACATAAATGTATATTAATAGATGCTTTGTATGTAATCTATAATACACACACTTGTTCCCACACATATGAATATTTATTCCTCACATGTCTTTTTCTGGTAGTGTCTGAATCAGACATTTCTAGGGAGGCTGATGACATAGAAATGAACAGAGAAAAATATGTGGAAGAGCTGAGGAAAGCACTGATAGCTGGAGAAGAGTCAGCTGGCAAATACAACTTTGTGATTTCAAGAGATGAGCAGAATAAGGCCTGTCACTTCTCCTATGAAAGGAACCTGAAAGATGGCTCTGTAAGTACATAAATGTTTAAATTTAACTGTTTAACAATGAGAATGAAATACATTTTTGTATTTTGTCATGGTCTTTAAAATCAGATGTGTGTTACAGATTGAATGAGTGTTGTGGGCTCTTGCATGGGCCAAGCTAGAAAGAAAGTGGGTGCATTGGGATGGATGCTGCTCTTTTCAAGTTGTAGCCTCCTGTGCACTTTTGTTTTCCTTGTTTCTTCATCCTCTCCCTCTACAACTCACCTAAATTAGGAAAAAATAAAATTTAGGCAAGATAATTTTCAAATGCTGAAACATTGTTTTAAAAATAAGATTTTAATTACTTTAGATATTTTGGAATCTAAGGCTGAAATTGTTGTATTAAATTGCAAATGGGAAAGTGGTTCCATGCTGCTTGCTTGGCTGCAAAGGAAAGGACCCTCTTAAAACGGGAAAGAAACCAGTATTATCTGTATCTGTAGATACTTCTGGACATTTCAGGTTGTGCTTTCCTGTGTTAAAACTTTTCTAAAGAATAAGCTAACTTTTAAGGTGAATATCCCAGTTTGTACTCCTTTTGTTTTTTTATTCTTTTACCTGCCCTGTCCCTTGTGCAGTATAGAACATTTCAGCTGAGTTTGGCTCTTGAGGAGACAAAAGTTAGGGCATGTAAGTCTGCCAGTCTGCATTACAAGTATTTCTGTGAATTTACCCAAGGCCATACTGACCCTCAACCTTGTGAGCTGTTTGATTGTTCACAAAGATCTTGAAAGTTTAGGACCAAACTGTACTCAGAAATTGAGAGCAGTAAGGTTAAGGATCTTTTTTTTTTTTTTTCTGTTTCTGCTCTGTGTCACACATGTTCTATGTACAGGCCAGATTAAATACATTCTGTATTTTTATTAAGTGAAAACGTCCTCGTGTTTGTGGGGTCACCTAATACATGTTTCCATTGATTAAGGCTTATGAGAAATTTAACTTGTATGGAAACAACTTCATGTCAATTTGGGAAAATAATAATCTGGCCAAAGAAATTGAAAATACAAAGAACCTTGATTCCTCTGTATGCTTTAAACTTTGGGTGTTGAAATAATGTTTTTAGATAAGATAGGATTTCTTGTGTGAAAATGCACTTTTTTTTTTCCCTCCCTCTGTACTAAACTAATGCCTAAATAAAATTGCCAAAGCAATTACATAGAATTAAAGAATAGAATTAGGTATTAGAAATAGCTTTCAGGTGTGTAATAGATTATGTTCCAAATGTTTTTCAAACTCTCTGTGGAAGTATTTGTGATCTCTCTCTTTCAACACTACATTAGGAAATTAATTCCTGGACTCTGTACATACAGCAGGCTGATATTCAGCTAAATGTAAATTTAGTGCAGAGGAAGCCTAGAGAAACTCCTCTGCAGCTTAAGCATGACTTAAACTCAGTGCTTATCTATTATCAGTTTAATAATTAACACTTTCTAGTAAAAAAAGAAATGCAAAAACTTCTGAAATGCATTGTTACACTTTGAGCTATAAAATGCTTATTAATCCGTGTAAGTAAAGGTTATTGCAAAATCTTTTCATGGAATTGGTATATAGGTGCTTGAGAGTGTAGTCTTAAAAAATCAATAGCATGCCTTGCCTTATTTCTTTAGAAATAAATGCATGCTTAGATACACAAATTCAATTATTTTAATTATTTTTAATTGCACCTGCCTAGAACATGATGCTGATCACCAGCAGTCACCTGTGCCCAGTAATTTCCAGAGTTGAGCTCTGTCATTGTTCTCCATCCCACGTGGGACTAATGACTGGCAAATCCCTGATTTGCCATCCTGATTTATTGTTTTCATGGCTGCACCAAACCGTGGTATTTGAAATAAGTTTTACCTTCTTTGTAGCATCTTGCTAAAGCTCTGCTTTCATAAAGTCTAAAATAAAAATTATTTTATTTTGGCACATAAAAATTATGTGCCAAAACTGTGTTGGGTGGTCTGTAGGAGTGCAAATAAAAATAGTGGGGTGATGTTAAGCAAAGGAAAACATAGGTATATTACTGGGAAATGTTTTCTGATATGGAAAATTGTTTTACTGCCCAGGTGTTTTCTGGAGGAATTGGTGGCAGCCCCATTGTGCCCCTTGCTTTGAAAGGGACTGGAATGAAAAATGCATTGTAATTATCTGCATTGCCAGTGTAGTCCATTTGATGGCTTAACGAGGTGTTTGATTCACCTGTTGTTCACTTAATGAACAAAAAGGTTCCCTCCATGAACTGCAAAAGGATGTTACACCTGCTCCTGCACTGCTTTGATGGAGTGAAACCAAATCTGTGTCTTCATGTAATTTTAAAAGTGTTTATAATCATCAGTATGTAATAATGATGTATATTACATGTATATGATGTATATGTAAGGCTTATGTAATGGATGAGTGCTGATGGATTGGGTTTTGAATGGATGGAAAACTTCCCTAAGTCATGAAGAATTCCTGTCTGATTTAGAGGGAGCACAGTGCAACATGTTTGTTTTGTAGTGCCTGTAATGCTTAGAAGTAACAGAATAAGAAAAATAATTTATCTTAAGGAATGTCCGTAAGGGTTTTTGTACTTGTTTATCTTGAAATGTTGGTCGGGAGAGATAATGATGTCTGTGCTTTAGAAACAGTGGTTCTGGCTGTGCCTCAGGATGTGCAGCTGAGCCTAAGAAGTTGTGCCTTTAAAAATCCCGGCGCCTTTGGTGAAAATCCCGATGGGTTCAGTGAAAATCCCGATGTGTTTTTGCGAGAATTCCAACGCACTTGGTGAAAATCCCGGCGTGTTTGTGATTTACCTCCCTCAGGACAGGTGGCTCTGCCTTTGGGAGCCGTGTCTGGGGTGCCTGGGGTGTCGGGAAGGACCCTGGAATAACAATGTCTGTGGAGCACAGTGGGAATTGTGTGCGGATCCAGCTGCAGCCCCGGACGGGCCACACACACGGAGACCCCGGCGAGGGGCCGGGGAGGCTGGTCCAGCTCAACTGCTGCCACCTAAACAAACACCAGCCACAGAGGCAGTGATTTAGTGCTTGATCTAAGTAGGTGACCACTGGGAAGTAAATCTTTCCAAGTGCTTCGGCGAGTCACTCCACATATAATAAATAATGGAAATCCGGCAAGCTCTTTCTTTTTTTTTTTTTTTTTTCCTTTTCTTCGGGGCTGGCAATTAAATAGACTAAATAGCCTTTGATAAACAGCTATTTGAGTGCTAGCAGTCTCTTTTTTTACAGTAATGTGACAGGCTCTGGGGGTTTTTTTCCCCCCCCTTGCCTTTTGCTTAAGTTTGTAAACAGGGAGGGTAAGAGCTTAACAAATTCCACCTTAGATGCAGCACTGTTGCTAATTAGGATGATGGAAGAGATGCTGTTATTTGTCTCCCCTGTTTCCTGTGGCTGCTTTTCCCTGGTCGGGCCTGTGAGTTCATTATAAGTTTACTAAAAGTTGAAAAAGAAGCTGGAGAAGCTTGTGCTAACCAAAACTTTTCACAGCATGCTAACTGAGAGAAATGCAGTTGGTAGAGCTCTTTGTGCTGTCCAAACTATCTTGGTTCAAGGTCTGAGTAGTTACTTTGCTCCAAACCACTGAGGATGTGTTGTTTGGTTAGCAAAGGTCACTGAGAGTTCAGGTTGTTTCCCAGGCAATTCCACCAGCTGAGGAGAGAGGAAGATGAAATGATTAATCCTCAGGTCAGTGTGAAAGTAATGACTCTCATATCACTTAATGTCTATATACTTCAGGACCTGAGAGCGGACGCTTGAATGGATTTCGTGGAAGCCCATTTTAGAAATAGCTGGCTTCTAATGTACCTTATGTATTAGAAACATTAAGTGTTATCTTGTAAGTAATCTCAGAATTCTGAGTGCCACATGATTTTCCCCATCTCACCTCGGGTGTGCCTTGAGATATTTCAGGTACAGTGGGAATGCAGTGCATCACTTCTGTAGCCTTATGGTAAGAAAAAACATTTCTGAAAGAATGATTCCCTACCACATTAGTGGGTGTACAAGGTGTGACAGAAGTCCTGGTGAATTCAGTAATTAAGCCATCCTTAGCTATTAGATTATATATTTGATTGCTTGTTCTGATAAGCAGTAGTTTGGAGAAATTAATTTAAAATGCTGATAATTTATGCCTTTAAAACTGGTATTGTTGAAAAAGTAAGATTCAGACACTGGGATGAATAAATTCTCCTAATTTCTTCTCAACCTGTTAGGATGTGTGTATTTCACTAGACCTATCCAGTTGGACAAAAATGGCAGTTTAGTTGCTTTAAGACCTACTGTAAATTACACTGTAAAGGGGATCTTTATATTTCTTGAGTACAATGAGAGTCTAAACATATTTCAAGTATACGTAACATGTTCATAAAATAACAGATCTGGATTTGTGCAAGAAAAATTGTCAGTTATTCTTTCTCCCTCTTGGTTTTATTGTATTGTCTCTCCTCCTCTCCTCTCGATTCTTTCAGATTTTCCCTTTGTGGAATATCTGCTGAGCATTTGAAATCCCTGTGTGGACATCAAGGCTTGCTTTCATTTGCAAATGCTTTCCTTTTAGGAAGAAGAAATCTTTAAATCATGGCATATTGGCAAGCTTTAGTTTCCCAAACACAAATTACAGAGGACAGTAGGTGCTCTGGAAAAGAGATTACTGTGTGTGGGCTCTAAACCTTCACTGCAAGACCCCAGTCCTGTATTTTCTGTGAGGATGAGCAGCTGCCAGGGCCTGAAAACCAGTGAGAATCTCACTAGTGGTTTCTCTTCAGAAACATTCTCACCTCTCACTGCTCCAGAGGAAGCATTCATCTTTCTACCTGCAAAGGCACAGGAGAGCTCTCAACCTCATCTTAACTCTTAGGTTCACTAAAATAGCGCCTTTTCCAGTATAAAATATCGAATGGATATGTTTAAACCCTCAGAGCAACTTCAATACCTCTATTACTTCTGCTGCAGTTACAGAAGATGTCTTGAAATGTAAGAAAATGGCAAATTCAGGATGTC